ATTTAAAATTACTCGTGCTACACACACAGACGAAGGGGCTAACCAAGTCAACTAAATTTGTGGGCCAGCTAAAAATAAAGTCTACCTGATCGGTACCTTTTTTCCGCTGGATTTGTCTTATAACCAACAATTTGCAAAAAAATCCAGGAAAATGACTGATTAAATGACTGATTGTGATGGATTATATGCGCATCCAACTTTTTTTCATCAAGTTTTACCTGTGTTCAATGAAGATAACAAAATGTTCTCAGTATGTAAATCAATGGACTTAGAAATCTCGAAAGCTGTTAACTATGCTCCGCGCAAGTTCCATCATATCAAGAGTGAAGATAGGTGCACACTAAACAATCGCCATAAACCTTAAAACTGATGCATTGATTAGCATTTGCCGTTGAGAACATACTTTAAAACAGATTACTATTTGGTAAACAACTGAATGCCACCAAATTTCCAAATATTTCAACAAGAAACCAAGCAAAACAAGAATACGATGTAAGCTAACAAACTCAGATGTGAATCTAAAATACGGTACCAAACAATTCATTTAACTATAGATCACATATTCACATTAGCATCTTCACTTCAAGAGGCCACTCACGTTTGCATTCTAGGGGTTTAATTCAAATTACCAAACAATTCAGTTTCTGTAGCCTGTTTGTATTTTACTATTTTATCATTACTTGAATCAATTTTTCTTTTCTTTTCTTTTCTTTATGGTACATCTCCACTTTCTTCAAATGATCTGGCTACGGTTTAAGTTACTTGCAACCTTATATTTAATTTATTGTGCCAACTTAACCGGAAATTTATTTAATCAATCTCTATCTAATTTTTCTACAGCTTTCATTCACAAGACATAGAAAAGAAACATCATCAAGTCACCTCCTGGTGTATCCCCACTGATGAACACTAAGTTTTTTCATGTAAAATCTCAAGGTTATTAACTAAGCTTCAGTTTGGACCTCCACCCTAAGCAAACCATATATAGAACATCGTAGAGTTCTTGTGTTTTATGGAAAAAAAAAAGTACTACATTAGAGAACATGAAATTGACGTCATAAAGATCACAATCAAATATTGTCCGAAATCACTGCAAGCTACACAAACCCTCGAGGTCCAGCTACTCCTTAGCCACTTCCAACCACAAATTGTTTCGCCAAAGTGAGACTTTATATCATAGGCCACACATAAAAACATCTCATGTGTTTTTCATCGGCCAATGCCATATTTTACCATATGACTTGATAGGATAAATTGTAAACAAATTTCCCCAATGGAAGATTATATATAAAACTAAACTATCTTCACATAATCACACATTATAGATATATAGGTACATCCCACAGCAAGTTAATCAGGCTATTTTTTTTCATATCTTCTGAACACCATGAAACAACCTATAGTTACTTATGATGACAAGGTGACAACATTACACAGTGAAGTACTGAACTAAACCCCTCCACGAGACACGGCAAGATTGAACCTAAATTCCCAATTCCCCATTTGTTTCGCAAACAACATACATGAAAACATGCTTAATTATGGAAATGCACCAAAAGAAAAATAAAATGGATTGATCATTGAGCATAAAGGTCACACCTTTACCATCCTCTGCAATCACAGGCAAAACTCTTCTCCGGAAAAGAGCTCGATTCTCAAATGCTCAATTGCAGCTGCTCATTCTCAAGTAATCCTCAATGCTCAGCTCATCAGAACTCATCAAGTCCCTCCCTCTAACACAAGTAACCTCGAACACTTTTCGAAATTCGTCCCAAGATTTATCCATTCCCCACAAAACAACCCCACATCTTCTTTCATTTGCAAAACACACCCTAGATATCAACCTGAAAACATCCTTGCCGTCCACCGCCGCCTTCAAATCCGAGGCGCCCACCTGAACCCTAGCATCCCTAAACGCGGGCCCACACTTCTGTTTGGCAAAATCGACGCATTTCTCTTTCGCGGCTGAAAAACAAGCTTCCATTTCTCTCTCCTCGCATCTCTCTCTCTCAGTAAGGTCCTGTTTGGA